ATTTCAGGCTTTTTTTCCTTTTTGTTCCAATTTGTTTACAGACCTTTTCGTACAAATATAGATCGTTGGTTGAAGTTTCCGCCCCTTTGACGGGAATCGAATTTTCAATTAATTAACGCGCCGGGGTCCCCGCGAAAGCTCTTCTGCGTTGCATCGATACCCTTGTACTCGAAGTAAGCTCGACCGGGAGGTAAACTGATGGGCAGCCGCAGCGATGGAAGCGGATCTCCTTCCTCAAAGAAGCCGTTCCGTTGTGCGGCCAAACCGCGGACAGAAATCGGGACGTTTGCCGTCCGAAATTGACTTTAGCCCCCGACCGCCTGCGGAAGTTCCCCGGGTGATCCTACCTCGGTGCGACCCTCTACGAATCGAGGTGTATAAATAATATAAATATTGTTAACGGTGCGGAATCGAGCCTGGACTTTTCCGCCAGCGGAGAGGTGGGCGGAAACATCCCCCGGTGGGGTATACGACGTGCGGAAACGCCGCGCATACTTCGCCGTCGGTCCGTCCCTATTATCTTGGGAACCTCCTGGGAGAGTTTCCGGGACGGAACGGCCGCGACGCCGGGGCAAACGAGCGGCCCGGCCGCACTCCATTCTCCGTGAGAGTCCGCAATTCCTCCGATTCGACGGAAGAGACGACGGAATGACGGCCCTCCGCCTTCTTTCCGCCCGATTGCCCGGGCGGGCGGAAAAGGCGCGGAAGCCCCGCTCCTCGGGACTTAATAAACGATCCCCACGCGGCGGATCCCGCGGAATCGCGCCGACGTCCTCCCGGGAAAATATCTTACCGCAATAAAACCCCGGGTAACGTCAACTCCGGGGCGTGCGGTTTTTACCCGCGACAGGGACCGATTAATTGAATGATCGATCGCGGCTCGCCGCCGCGGAGGAATCGCACGGGTTACGAATCACCGCGCGGAGATTCCGCACCGGCCTGACTAATGATACGTCGGCTGGTCGAGTACTCTCGTTACTCTCGTTGCCTCCGGGCCTTTATAAATCACCTGCGGAACCGCACCTGCTCGGCCGGAGTTTTGACGGATGCACGTCCGATCATCCATTGAAAAATCGGTTCTTTCTTTTGTCCTTCTCTCTCTTAATTTCATAAATAGTATAAGCCACCTCGGAAAAGTCTGGCGATTTAATTTCCATCGATATCAATCTTATCAGATAATGTGGGAGAAATTGACCCCTTCCTTTCTGACCTTCCATCTTTAAATTTCATCAATTTTTACGAAACATCTCGGGAAAATCTGGCGATGATTTATTTACCGAATGATATAAGGCTCGGCAGGGTCGACGAGATTTTTTTCATAAATTTTTATCGGTTATCAAACGTACCGGTAAATCAGTCCCGATAACTGATAGTGTCGCGTCTCGCCCGCGGAGCGGTTCCGTTTCGACGGAAACAAATACGCCCAGTTAAATCGCTACCGGGGTTTGTTATTTTTAATCCGCCCGCGCGGATGCCCCCCGCAAATTATTTCCGGCTTATAACCCGTCATCGGGGAGCATTCACATCCCGCGCGGAATTTATCCCGCCTGTGCGGATAATTAGGATGCGCTCAATCGGGTGCAACCGGCACAGAATCCGGAATGAACGCGGATAGCCTCTGTCTATCTCTACCACTTATTTCCCTTTTCTAGCCTTATTTAACGCCGACACACCCGGGTATAAAAAATTAGAGTCCTCGCCCGAGTATGCCGGCCATGGGGAAAGCGTAACATAAGATGCGCCGGCCGATCTTTATGGAATTTCATATCCGCTGGTTTATTTCTGGAATTTAGATGAAAAGGAGGCTCTTTCACGACGAGGAGGAGACGATGAACCGAATGTAGGTTCCCGTGGGACTGCCGAGGTCTTGTGCCACTTTTGAGGGGAATACCCCCGTATGGGGAAGGTGATAAAGGAATTAAAATATAGACGCGACTTTCGCGTCGCCTTAAGTATGGAATTGTCCTGAAATATTTTTAAGAAATTTCCCATGGATTCCAAAATATGTAAAGTAGGGTCCTTGAGTGGAGCACATACATATGTGTTTTTTCTTAACAAAATTTTGCATGGATCCCAAAATGTGTAAAGTAGGGTCCTTGAGTGGAGTGTCATCCGGCAGGGAACGCGTTAATATCGGGTGGACCTGGTGATCCATGGGGAGCCCTGTATGTACCGGACTTATGTACGTCTGCACGTATATTTATATATTTATGTTCAAACGTAGGCTCTAATCCGCGACGGTCACCGCTCTCCGCATATCCGCTGACATTAACCGAGGCCACCTGCAAAGGTGCACCGCCATCCCCCCTGGGAAGTCGGCCCGGTAATGGGAAAGTTTTCCCGTAGACCATGGGACACTGTAGTCGTTCCTTCGACTGGAATAACGACGTTCCCTCCCTCGTCGTACTCATTTCCTTCACGCTCCCGTGGCCCCGCAAAGACGCCGTCAATTTTCGCGCCCGGAAAAAGTACGACCTGAAGAATATTCCCCAGGGCCTTAAACCTCGACCTCGGATCACCGGCTCCCTGCGAGATGCACCCGATGCACTCTAGAAAGAAATCCCCTCCCGTTTCCTGCACGAGCGATTTGTCCGGATTTTCTGGATCGAAATCGTGGAAATAAAAAAAAATTAAATAAAATAAATTAAACGAACCTGCGCCTTAACCTCAAATTAATTACCGCTTATGAAACACATTTCTCCGGGCCGAATGAACCTAATTGTTTCGAACTTCACCCCCATAAATATGAAAGCCATAGGGAAGGTCCCGACGGCCGTGAGATTTCAACAAAAAAAAAAAGAAAAACAAAATCATTATCAGGCACTTAGAAAATATTTTCTTTGCAGGAGTCGCGATAGCGGGTGGAGGACGTGATAAAATCTGGGATTTTGAGGGTTGACGAGTTTCTGTTGTTCTTGACTTTACATGCAATTAACGCGTTTCCCGTTTAAATTGGGACCCGCGAGCGACCTCTCGCGTCGGGCTAATCACGTGGGCGACTTCCAGGAGGAGAGAGAGACTCCCTCCACGGGATCGGCTGTATGGGGTCGTTCCATGGGGTCGCTTCTATGGGGTCGTCTGCGTGCGACGGGACGCCCGTCAGCTCGGCCGGATCAAACGGCGACCTGCGCCCGTTAACGGCGCCCGATGTCGCCGTGTCGCCGTTGTCGCCGTGTCGCTGTTGTCGGCGGCTATTACCTCGACGGCTCGATTTCCCGGCACACTTTGCCGCGGTTGCGGAACCGCCGCAGCTCGCAAACCCTCCCGGAAACCGCGGGTTCCGGTAACAAGTGGTTGGAGCGGATGCATTTTTTACGCGCGATCGAAGAATCCGAAATTCCGGATTCACCCCCCAGGAATGAATTCGGGAATTACTGGAAGATAGGGGGAAATTCGGCATGCCGAGATAAAAAATTCGGTAATTGCGGGAAGACCGTAAAAGATTTGATAGTTACTCCGAAAATGTACAAAATTTCGGGGCAAGTAGAAAATGGTATAAAACTTACTATTTCCACGCCTGACGAAAGGAATTTACTCGAAGGAGTAAGAAATTCAGCAATTACTCGAAAAAGTCACAAAATTCGGCAAGGGTAGTTAGGGCACAAATTAGCCGGGATTAGCGAGCTAATCGGGGGGATGAAATTTCGGAGGTAGTTTATAAAGTTCTTGGCTCGTGCTGAATTTCCTTGGGAGGAGGGCGAGGATGCAAATGGATGCAAAACGGATGCAAAGGGCCGAAGTTGGTGTTTTTTTCTTTCTCGAGGGATGCGATAACAGCGACCGGCGGGGGTGTTTTGAGAGGGCGGCGAGGGGTGGACTTCCGAGGGCGGACTACCCCCAGACCCGTGGTCGGATATGCTTTGATCAGGCACCGGTAAACACACCCCCGGATCACGGATGAAAGCCCTCCACCGATCCCCTTGCCGTTCGATCCTCCCCCCTTCCCGGCACTCCAAACACGGGGGTGGTTTTGCGCCCTCTGGAAACTTCGCCTCGTCTCGCGCCAAGTACACATCGGACAAGGCACCCGGTGGAATAAATAATGAAATAATAATTACAAAAAAAAAAAGGTGATATGACAGTGTTACATATACGTACCAAAAAGTCAACATATATATATATATAAGACTTTTCTCCAAACTGGGTATACCGAATTATGTGAAGCTTTAACACACAATCATGGAGTCTCTAAGGAAGAACGCGCTGGTCGTGAGAATTTAATTTTTCGAGAAAAATTGTCCATTTATCTCGTACAAGAGATTTTTTGCAATTAAACGACCCGGCCGCGGGATCATTAGCTTCGAGCCCCTCGACGTCCAATCGCCCTCGAGGCATATACAAGTCGCCATTGTCACCGGTTCCCCAAGTGGGCGGAATCCGATTTCCCGGTGGCGGCGGTTCCGCGTGAAATTCCGGCCGCAATTCCGCCATATTGGCGGGCCGCTCGTTGGGCCGTTACATTCGTCCGGAATCGCGAGGGATGAGAATCGTTCGCATAGATTGAGGTACGTTTCCGCGGATATCGGCCGCACCGATTACCTCAAATTTCCATATTTTTCCCCTTGATATACATCCGAGGCACTAACCTGGGTACTCGAAACTGCTCGCAGATGCCGGGGTGCGTCGTAAAATAGTCATCGGAGCCGTGGACGCGGGGGAGTCGCCTCCAAACAGCGACCGGGACCATGTCGGCGCAAGCGGGAAACGGGTGCGCGAGGGCAGGGGCCGCACCGTCGACCGCACCGTCGACCGCATCCCTCGAGGAGCGGAGGGACTGACTGCCGAGGGACGATGAGAAGGGGCGCGAGAGCGGGCCCGGCGAGCTGAGCCTCGGGCGAAGGCGGCCGAGGGTGGCCGAAGGTACCCGAAGACTCGCGCGAGCGGCCGAAGAGTCCCGAGTCGAACGTAGCGGGCTGGGCCCCTCCCGGGCCCCGCAGCCTCGGATGGCAGCAGCAGTGGCGCCATCGTCGGGCCCCGAATGAACGACCGCCTGTCCGGGGATGAACGTCAGCGAGGCTTTCCCGGTAGGTGTCGGCGGCGAGGTTAACTCGAGCGACCCCGGCTTCGGGGCGAACCGCAGCTACGTCGACCTCTGGGAGCCGGCGAGCAACCTGAGCTACGGCGACCTCTGGAACCTGGCGTCCGACCGGGCGGGCCTGGCCATCGTCCTCTTCCTCTTCTCCGTGGCGACCATCTTCGGGAACCTCCTGGTGATAGTGGCGGTGATAAGGGAGCGCTACCTCCACTCGGCGACCAACTACTTCGTCACCTCTCTGGCCTTCGCCGACTGCCTGGTGGGGTTGGTCGTCATGCCCGTAAGCGCCATCTACGAGGTCCTAGAGAACAGGTGGCTCTTCGCAATCGACCTCTGCGACGTCTGGCGCTCCCTCGACGTCCTCTTTTCCACGGCCTCCATCCTCAACCTCTGCGTCATCAGCCTGGACAGGTACTGGGCCATCACCGACCCCTTCACCTATCCGACCAGGATGAGCACCAGACGCGCCGGGATGCTCATCGCCATAGTCTGGATCTGCTCCGGAGCCATCTCCTTTCCGGCCATCGCATGGTGGCGCGCCGTCCGCACCGAGGAGGTCCCCGAGGACCAGTGCCCCTTCACCGAGAACCTCGGGTACATCATCTTCTCCTCGACCATCAGCTTCTACCTGCCCCTCTTCGTCATGGTCTTCACCTACTACCGCATTTACCGCGCGGCAGTCGTCCAGACCAGAAGTCTCAAGCTCGGCACCAAGCAGGTTATGATGGCACCCGGGGAGCACGAGCTCACCCTCAGGATACACAGGGGAGGCGCTGCCGGGACCACCGACTCCAGGAACCTGTGTAGGACCGCCTCCAGCACGCCCGAGGATCTCCAGGTGAGAAGTAATTCCAGCTTCCCATAGACTTTTAAATACATTTTTCGTTCTTGTAAAATCTAGAAGGTAGTTTATTGCCCAGGGAAACACGAGTACTCCAATGTTTACACGATCGGTATGTGTCTCGCGGACTCTCTAACCGCTCCTTTCGTATTTTCCCCAAGGACCTCGAGGAGCCCCTCACCGCCCTACATCCAAACAATGGCCTCACCAGACTATCTTCGGGCCGCATGAACAATAAACACCTCGGCAAGAATTTCTCGCTCTCGCGGAAACTCGCGAAATTCGCCAAGGAGAAGAAAGCCGCCAAGACCCTCGGCATCGTCATGGGCGTCTTCATAGTCTGCTGGCTGCCCTTCTTCGTGGTGAACCTCTGGTCCGGCTTCTGCACGAAGTGTATCTGGCAGGAGAAGATCGTCTCCGCGGCAGTGACGTGGCTCGGCTGGATCAACAGCGGGATGAATCCTGTCATCTACGCCTGCTGGAGCCGAGACTTCAGACGGTGAGTCGTTTATACATTTTTTTCTCGCCATTTGCGAGGCAGCGTTCGGCTTTGTTCTACATGCGTATGGAGATACCGACTCAGTGGTCGAGTGTAGAAGAGCGTTATTAAAATTGGATATACGGATTCATGAGCGTCATGAAAATCGACATTCAAATACATGAGCGGGATGAAAATCGATATACGAGTTCATGAGCGTCATGAAAATCGACATTCAAATACATGAGCGGGATGAAAATCGACATACAAATACATGAGCGGCATGAAAATCGACATTCAAATACACGAGCGAGATGAAAATCGGACATGCGAGTACACGAGCGTTATCAAAACTGAACATTGTGTACATGAGCGAGACGGAAGCATAACTCTATATACAATATTGCCATGGTGGTTCCGTCCAAAGGATCGAACGGTGGAATTTGTTTTCACCGATTTTCCCAGCGATTTTTTTTTCCCCGATTTTTCCCCTACCCCCAGCCCCGCGTTTGGCAATTAGAGGACGAAGTGTCGGGTCCCCTCGGCCCACCTGGACACAATGGCGACCAATCCCCATCCCAAGTCCGTCATCACAGAGCTTCGCCATTCGCTTCGAGTCCTCAAACGCCGAAACTCGAGCCCAATTAAAAAATGCCCAGCTTGAAGAGAGAACCGCCGTCCAAAAGCGCATGGTCCCTCTTCGGATCTCAAATTCGGCGGCCTAAAGAGGGAAAAATCGGGGATTAATTCCACGGGAGTCCCGAGGGAGTAGACTCCTTATTAAGCGAGTGCACCCCCTCGACCTCGGCTTACGCGGTAAATCGGCCGACAAATAACTTCGTTCGAGAAGTTCATTAAGCGGTAGTTACCTCATTAAAGTATACATCCCTCCCTCCTGGCGGTACCTTGCGAATGCGATTCTGGGTCTATGTATTGGATTAATCGATCATCACTCGAGTACCATAGAAATACCTTGTTAATTATAGGAATAATGGTTCGAGTTCAGTAAACTCGAAGAAATCGAAAGTGATTGCCATTCATCTGGATTTAATGTGAGTGGGATAATTATTTTTTGAATTAATAGAGATATATCTCTTTAGTTAAATTTCTTCCCTCGGGGTATGTTATACCGTTTGCGGGGTTTTCCAGTTCAAGTGGGAATTGAATACCCCTTGAGGTATCGGGGACATTATTGCGCGGGGTCGCGATATCCTGAGATATATCCCAGAGGGGTGACGGGAATACGAGACTCCCGGGGTAATGCACGTGTCGGATTTCCCCCGAAGGAACTGCAATCGCATCCCGGTACTCGCTTCCGGTCTCGGGAGGCATTGCCTTGTACGACTCGCGAATCCCGGCACATCGGGTGGACGGACGAGGAGGGAAAACGCCCGACGGGAGGGAAGCGGAACGACCGGTCGATCCTCGACGCCGGATGCTCTCTAGGTGTCCGTTAGGTGGGAATAATGCGATTTAAATTGAGCCCCGAAGACGGATGGCTCTCCGGACGAATCCGGCCCGCCCGGGGTGGGCGGGAAAAGCGCCCAGAAAAGCCGGAAAATTGGAGGCTTTCGGGGACGCGGCCCCGCGATTGCCACCCACCCTCCCCATTCGGCCATCTTGACGATTGATTTCAACCCCGTAAGCCGGATTTCTAACGGCGAGCTGACTTTAATCCCAACTACCCTCGGGTCGTCCACCCTGAGATTGAAATGTCATTAGAGCAGAGAAATACTTTATTAATGATAATAAAATATTTTATATGACAATAGAATCATTTTACTCGAATAGAGCGGACGCAACGTTTCCTCGGAATTCTGACAATTTATTTGAAGTTGTCTGAGGTTAATAATTATTTCTTGAATTAATGAGGTATTTCTATGGTTCAATGAATTTTTATTCTTGATGCGTATCATCCATTGCGCTGTTAATTAAGCTCACGGGGTATCCTTTTCCGGGAAATCTCTCCTCTCTAGATAATTACATGTTTCGGTTAGGATATCAAAATGGTGACGGGAGGGAGGAACGGTGTCAGAGAATTCATTATTAATTAGTACGTGGTTCGTTTCGCTGCAACAAATAAATCGCTGAAGCTTCGTTTAAAGTTGGGGAACGAGCCCATACGTGGACTGGTGATAAGGGAGAAGGTTCTACTTTTTGAAGTGAAAATCGCGGTTTAGAGCTCGGAGAGAGGGGCTTGAGTTGATTACATGCTCGAAACGGAGGGTGTGCCGACCTCGTCTGATAAACCTGATAAACCGATATCACGAGCCAATCCAATAGGCGCCTTCCGGTTGATTAATCATTTCCAACACAACGGCAACGGGAAATAGTCCGCATGGCTGGATAATTCATGTCTGCACGGGGTTGACACCCCCATGGGGGGTGCGGTATCGAGAGTCACCGGACCAAGGATCCGGCCTCCTTCCCGAGGCCCTATCTCCTCCGCGATTCAGGATAGCGAGAAATGCCACAGGAAAAAATTGTGTCCAACATTCCGAGAAAGATGTTTCATCTGAAGCTTTTTTTTATAAAACGCATCATTTGGAGGTTAGGGCGCGATTCTTGGCTGGTTCCTTCGCTCACCCCGTCATCTCGGTTTTCGTCGACGCTCGCGAATTTTCCCACGAGTTATCCCGCGATTCTAGAAATGCCGACTCGCGGTCTCCTCAGACCGAAAGTAAAGCATGGCTTCAAAGCCTCGAATCGACGAAATCGAGCCGATAATGCCGGAACACAGCAATTATCGTCGCGACGCTCGCAAAGAGCCGATGGAGTCGCGCCGGGGTGCTGGAATCCCCTCCCCCTCTTAAGGGGATAAATAATTAAGGGGGCAGCTCTATCGGGACGCGGAATCGATCCCGGGGGATCCGGCTGCGGTCTTCCAGGCTCCTCTCCCCGGTGGAGGCGCCTCCGTCCTCTTCTCTTCGCCTCGTTCTTTTGTTACACTTTATCCGCCCCTCTGCGTGCACTTATCGCGGGGGGTCCGCATTGTGCGCGATTTCTTTAAAAAGTGCCTTAAGCAGTGCTTATCGGTTCTAATTATTCAAGGGAAACCTCACGAACCCAGGTACGGCGATATTTTTTTAATCGATCTTCAAAAGAACACTGCAGAGAATTCGTCGATTTAATTTTTCCGATCGCGAGGAATCAGCTGTTCCATCGTAGTAAGATTTATGTTTCATCAATGTTTCCTTGAGGTATCATAATTTATCGACGTGGCAATAATCTTTTTATATCCTGACGCTGATAAGACTCGATTCTTTTTTTTTTATTTTCTCGAGGCCGCGGCTCGAAAAATTTGCAAACTTTAAGGGGCTGCGGAAAATGGAAAAGGAGAATCCGCTCGCCGGCCGGACGCCGCGTGTCCTGCGGTACGTGCGAACGGCGGAAAGTCGGCTAAGTGAAATCGCCGGCACGCTCGGCTGTAAAAATTGACGAGCTCCGGGGAAAGCGATTCTCCTCTGTCGGGCCGTAAACGCGAAAACGGCCCCCAAGAACGCGAACTCACGTTCGATACACCCCTAACGTCGGTAGACGGTAAAATGACCCTACGTGTAATACCGTTAAAATTCTCTGTAAATCTGCGATTTAAGGTGACGTGAAAGTGTGATATACATATATACATACCAAAAAGTGAACATGTTTATAAAACATTTCTTCAAACTGGGAGCACCGAATTATCCGAAACTTTAACACGTGATTATGGAGACTCCAAGGAAGTACACGCTGCTCGTGAGATTTCATTATTCCAAAAAAAAATGTTGCATTTACCTCGGGCAAGAGCCGAAGGAAGATATTTCCTTTTTTCGAAAAATTCAAATTTCACGGCCTTAAGCATTTAATATACGTAATTTCATTTCGCGCAAAATATTATTTAATATACATGTAATTAACAACGTCAGCGATTTTTCTCGGAATTATTTTCAACGGCGATATGATACCCCCTGAATACCGAGATCAAATTCGGAATGACTCTCTTCGTCATTGGCAATTTGATAAGAGAATTTATGCAACGACTTCGCGAGGTTATCGGTCCGAGGGAAGAAAGAAACGGGGCCGCCGAGTACACCGGGGACATTTTTCGCCGTCGGTGCAAAAAATCGGGACACGGTGGGGCAAGATGGCGGCCGGTCGATCTCTTAGAAGCTGGTGAGGGGTTTGCGAGGAAGGGAGGAGGGGGGTGTAATTGACTCGCAGGGCTGAAAAAAATGGACGGTAAAAAAGAGAGGAGGAACCCCGGCCTCGGAGTTAACTCGACAGGCTCTGTGACGGAGGTGTATATGTCTCGACCCCCTCAATTTCCACCCCCCAACCCCGTAGGAGCCCCCGGAACGAGGATCTCCGAGGACCCATCGAAACACGGGTTTCCTCTCAGCCCCTCTTCGCAATCGTTTTCACCTGGTCTCGATGAGTTATGGGGAGGGGGCGAAAAAATTTGAGGGTGGCTTGGAGTCTAGAGGAATTTCTGGATGAGGGGCGAACGCCTCCTCGGCCGACTCACCTGGGGAACACCTGAGATGACGATAATGGGGGCTGGGGGCAACTCCCCCGATCGCCCCCGAGGGGAGGGGAATCTCTTCGGGGTTGGAGCGACTTCGTGTGTTAAGTGGATGCTGCCGAGGTAAATAGGTGGCATCCTAGAGATGCCGGAGGGGGGAATCCACCCCGCCCCACGATGGCATCTCCTGCAGCCAGGACGAAAAAGCCACTTTAGATAAGCCTCGGCGAGTCTATATCGGATCGCGACGAAATGAAGTTTATAGAGTGGATATTTACCCCGAAGGCGCGTGTGGGAGGGGTGGGGAGGGTCTATTATTTTCGAGGAATTTATCTTCCGGTGATAACCCCGGGAGTGCTGTTGCCCCTCGGGGGAGCGCGAAAGGGTTGCTCCCCTCTGGGGGATAATAAATGGCTCGTAAGAGTTCTTGAAAAAAAAAAAAAAGAAAAAGAAAAAATCCGTCCCAGAACGATCCATCACGTTGCTGGGTGAGAAATATCGAGCGATCGCTCCACCCTTT